CTGTACACTGCAGCACTGATTCAAATGAGGTGCTATTTAGCAGTTAAAACTGCACAAAACCCATTTATGGGTCTTCTAGTGTCCTGTCTAGTTTAACACTAAAAGTTTACCTAGCCCAGTCCTTTACCCAGAGCAGGAACTGCCCTCTCACAAAACGAACCAACCCAGGCGACCCAGGATAGCATGCACACCAAAATCAAGTGCAATGCCCAAAAGTGCCCATCAAATGAGTCATTCAGATGGCTCAAATAAGTAAGCCAAACCACATATATAAACATTATGTAAACCCCAAGTGCAAAATATATCCACCCACCCGATTACACCAAGGGAAAAATTAATTAGGGACGACTGCATGCCACCAACCTCCGCAATGCCTGGAAAAAGACATTTGCTCCCTTCATGCTAGAAAACCTCACCACCCCGCCATAACATACACCCACGTCACACACCACCAAGTATATAAGACAGTGGTTAATCTAGCCAGGGTCCTCCTCACGCACCTTTCCAACATTTGCTCTCCGATACGGCTGCCGCCCGTTCCAGTTTGCCCCTGCTATGGGGGGTTCCCGAGAGCAGCTTCCTGAAACTCCAAGCCTGAGCTGCCTCTCATACACCGTAGGGTAACTCATTGTGTTTTGGGGCAGGGTGCTGCTGAATTACCTAAATGTACCCCCCCCCCAGCACTCCTTTCCAGTAATGTCACTGAGTGCAGAAAGGGAAAAGCCAGCATGCAGACTCTGGAAAGCCCAGACTGAAGAGATGCAAAGAGGAGGAGGAGGAAGAGGAGGTGGGGAATTTATTTTTTTTAAAGACACCCATGCAGTTCATCTTCTCTTGTATCTCTCTGCTTCCAATAACCATGACAACCGTGTGCCTGACTGAGAAATTCCACCGCCACCCCCATCACACGTGCCTAGCTGCAGTGTCCTCAGCACCCAACAGCCAAAAGAGAAAGGTCTCCTTTTCTCATGCCTCCACTGAGGATGGGTATTACCCATTGTGGGGAGAACCACATCAAGATTACTATCAGAAGTTAGCTTCGGCAGACATGATTCAACTAGAGCGGAAACAAAAATGGAAGGTGGTGGTGGAGGATGGAAGACTTCAGTCAAGCCCCCCTACCTCAAATCAGCTTGCAACAAACCAATAAACCCCCCCTTCTTCATAGACGTTCTCCACTTTGATAACATGCCCAGTGAGGCACTCTGCCAGAATTAGGTGGGTGTGCACAGACGGTAAAAACAAATAAATATTCTTTTTAAAAAATATGCTAGCTTGGTCGCAAAGGACCTTGGTTACTTTTGAACAGCACTGGGGCTTTCATCTCTGTGTAATCCGCCTTGAGTCCAAGTGAGAAAGGTGGACTATAAATAACATATATAAACCTTCCCAAGCCTACAGAAAAGCTGAGCTGGCTTACAAAGTGCTTGGGGATTTGACCAAGCAAGCTCAGTTCTTGTGCAACCTCCAGACTGCAACTGGAAGTTTTCATTTTGTTTTTAAAGGGAACTAGCTATGTCTGGGATTCCAGAGTTTAAATTGGAAGTCTCAGATTCTGAGGCTGAGAGCCAAACTACATGTTAAGAGGCAGCCTGTGGCTGTTGACACCATCCTAGATGAGAATCTGGCCATCTAAAAACTGCCAAGAGGGGAACCCAGGCGTGGTGGCACCAGGTGAGCTTGTTTCCCCACCACCACCTTTTAAAGCGCTGAAAGGATTCCCCATGACTATTTTGGCACTTGAAAAGGCACGTGGGAGGGGCAGGGAGCGACAAGATCACTTGGTGCTGCCACACCGTGGGATTGGGCCCTCGTAGCAATTTTTAAACCACTACATTATTGCCTAAAATGGCATCACATGCTTGCCCATAACGCGTAGTTAGCTCTGAGAGCTATCTTTGTAAACAAGTGGACACTGTTGACTTTCTGGCCGCAAAGCCCTCTTCAGGCAAAGAAGGAAACAGGAGGAAATGTGAAGCATCAGCTCCCATGACTGGCAATCTCCATGAAGCCTCTGGATTGGCCAGGCCCGGTATAAATATTAGGATCCAGACCTGCAGACTCCAGTGCAAGCCTCCAGCATCTTCAGGGAGTGTGTTTCAGTTCTGGAATTAGGTGGGTTGTGGCTGCCCAAAGACTGCATCTGATGTCAGATTTCAAAAGTGGGAAGGATCAAACTGAAAACTAAGGCCATTAGCAGCCTTCTGCCCCTTGCACTGTGGTACCTTGGACTCATTATAGGGAACTGTGGCATGGGGATCTAACAGGGTTAAGTATTTGCAAACCTTATGATCAGATTAGTGTATAGCGAGGCAAATGGGTTGTCATGGCAGCCTCCTGTGAGAAAGAGGAAGCGAGACAAGGACTTCCTGTTGCCAAAGAGCTGAGCAATAACGCAATAGAAGCCCAGCTATTTTTGACTAGAGAGCTTCAACACGTCTTGGCAACTGAGAGGGGAGGCTGCATTTCTCAAGAAAGTGTGTAACAGAGTGGTGTTAGCACAGAACAGTCCTTGGCAGGGCCGCCATAGCAATTCACATTTAAAACGAGCTGGCACACACTACAGTGCTGAAAGAAGCAGACCGTTTATTCCTCCACTGATACCTAAAAACAATTTACATACTCAACACTTGACTTCCCATTTCTACTAAACCAGGAGGTATTCACTTACTTTGGAGAATCCTTTCCCTATTGACTCATTTGCCACTGTCTGTTGAAAAGGATTTGGGGAAGTGTTTTGAGGCATACACTCACTTCCTGTGCATGCTGGCCAAGTTCATGGGGCCGGACAGTCATGTGTGAGCTAAGTGTGCACCCTGGAACTCAGCTCAACACACACACACCACTATGAGTGTACACTACAAGGTCAGGGAGGCTGGTTTGGACAGACATGTCCCTGGTAATCTTCTGAGGAAGACCAAGCTTCTTTGGAACACAGTTTGAAAACTGTTTGCAAATTTTTTCCATGTCCCTGTGAATGTCTATGAAGACAAGTGGTGGAAAATGTCAGATTGGTGATGTCTGTAGCCAGGTTTTTTCAGGGAGGAGGTCAGACACCAGAACTCAGGGGAACAGAGCCTGGGAGCTGTGGGTGGATCCTGGGAGCTATAGGTGGAGCCTAGGGGTGTTTGCTGGGGGCAGAAAGCAGCTGGTAAGAAGAGTCTGGCTGTGCCTGGGGCACAGTGAACAACAAAAGCCCTAAAACTAAGGTGAAAAACCTGCCACATGGAATCACTGAGAGCTCTTCCCATGACATGTAAAAATATGCAAACCGGGCTTAAGCAATTAGCCAGCGTATCTCAGAGGCTGCAGTCTTCTGCATCGGACAGCATCTTCTACACTACAACATCCACCTGCAAGTTCAGACAGCAAGGGCATGCATGGTGACCATCTTAGTGACTTCCTTTACAGCTGTGGAACCTGCTCTGCTACCTGCTTCCCAGAGCCTGAGCCAAAGCTTTTCCTCACATTGCAAGACTTTGAAAAACAAAAAAAAGATTGGGTTGAGGAGGGGATATAGTTAAGAATTTGCTCAGAAAGCACCCACAAAACCCAAGCTGGGGTCCCAGGTACCTTACACTCTTGGTCCACTGGCCTGCTGTACGCTCCCTTGAACACTACCAATTCAGAAGGATGTACTAACCATAACCCAGCAGTTGTCAGGTGATACAAGGGGCCAATGGAAGCTTACCTGGCCCTAGTTCACCTCTAGACTGGCTTCTCAGTTTGAGGAAGGGGACAGAAGACAATGCTTTCACAATACTGACTAATGCACTTTCAACCTACTTTCAGTGCAGTTTGCAACTCGATTTTACTCTGCAGAACAGCAAAATCCATCTGCAAATGATTGCTTGAAGTGC